CTTTTCCTATTTGAATCTAGACTGCTCCCATCTTCATGTCTTCTTTTCTGTGATTAATAAGTGATCCATCAGAATAAAAGACTAGTTTCTCTTTAGATCCAAGGTTACATTGGAGTATATCTATTAGGTGATCTTGATAACTAGTATTATGTATTTATTAATCAATATAAAAACTAATAAAGATATATAAGCCAATTGTATCATGGCCAAATTAAATCTTATACTAACTAACTTATCAATGGTTTTTAATTTTCAAATAAGCTTAAGTCTTTAAATACAATCTTGAGAACAATATTTTACTTTGGAATAAGTTTTGAGTAAAAATCCTCCTAACTTATCCATCATTGCTAGTAAGTTGTTATCATATATTATTCTCTAAGAAACTGATTTCAAGAAACCACAATAGGAAAAAAGAAAAATAAAAGAAAGAAGAATATCTAAAAATATATAAATAAATATGTGTATATAAAAAGAAAAAGAAAAAAAATAAAGTTGTTTCATATTTTTCAAAGAATTTCTACTAGAAACCTTCTTTCATTAACAATCAATCCTTTTGAGATATTCTTTTTCTTTCTAACCATCTAAGGATCTTATCTATTCATAATCATCTAAAGTATTTATTACCTACTCAAATATAATATTTTGTTTATTACTTTCTTTCTTTTAGTATTGATTTTGTATCCACTTATATAAACCTTAATGGCTAAAGTAATTTTAGGTTTTTATATGATCTTTTAGTCATATTATATAACTCCTGATATCTTTCAGCAGTCATACCTAATTAAGGATATTTGTTTTGATTATGATATTATTATACAATATCAAGAGAAATATATTTTTAATCCTAAAGAAGGATTGTAGCTTACAGCCTTCTACTTTTTGATCTTATTACTCTATTAAGATAAGAAAATAGCTTTCTTTATATACTTTATTTAACTGAAATAATAGAAAGCTGAAGATCTTAGCTTGAACAAATAATTATTTTTTTACCATTTATGAAATTTAATATCTATTTTAGTGGACTTATGGTTTCTTTACTTCAGTTATATTTTATTTAAAGAAGTGAAGAATTTCAAATTAATAGTTTCTCTTTCTTTTACCAATAATGTTATTGAAATATATAAATATAGTCAATAGAACCTTGTTTATATCTTGTTATCAATGTATTTAATATTAGCCAATTAGAAACCAGGTAATATTATACTACCAGAAATTCAGAGTTAAGTTGAAATAGGCCAAATTCTTCAAAAAATCTATGAAAAAACTATAGACACTCTAAGAGAGCAAGAGATAATATATGAAAAGATAGATAATAAACCTTCTCCTACCTAAAAAATCTTATTTTAATGTTGTATTTAGCTTTAAAAAATAATACTCTATAAGTTGATTCTTTTATTTCCTAAAACTTTCTTGTCATTAGTAAAGAAAATACATGCTTGAGTCTATTCAGGCCATCAGAAACCCAAGTTTTTGTTCAAAAAAGTTTATAAACAAGTAGAGAAGAATAGTAATGACTTTTGAAGACAAGTTTCAAGTTGTTTTAAGAAAAGTAGGAAGACTTTATTAATTAAGAAATATAAAAACTTCTTGTAAATATTTTTTTTGTATATAGTTAAAGGATCATTGAAAAGAACAATATTTTTCTTTTTATTTTTAATAATATTATTAAAACATATAACTATAATTAATAAAAATAATTTATATTTTAAAAATTTTTAAATTTTAAATATTAATTTATTACTTTTAATAAGAATTATATTATTTAAAAATTTAAGATTAAATTGAAATAAATAAAATTTAAACTCTTTTTACTGATTTTCTGACTATATACAAAAAAGATATTTGTAAGAAGTTTTTATACTTCATTGCAAATAAAGTCTTAACACTTTCTTTAAAACAACTTGAAGTATTATTTCAAGAGTTACTACTATCCTTTCTTTATTGTCTATAAACCTTTTTACTCAAAAACTTGATTTTTAGTGACTAATAAAAGTCAAGTAATACCTTTTATACTAATAGCAAAAAAGTTTTCAAAGGAAGAATAACTGGTTATGAAGTATCTGAAGGTCTTTCTGACCTTTTAAACAAGAGGTTTATAGAGATTTGTTATAGTCAAAAGGTTTATTTTCTCACTTTTAAACTGTTTTGATCCTCTTAGAACTTTTACTTTTACAGTTTTTTAAGGAATTTTATCTATCTCAGTCTGATCCTAAATTTTAGGTAGCACAAATTCTCATCAAATATAATGGGCTAATATAAAACATATTAGTTTTTAACATATAAAAAAACTTCTATTAGTTCCATTCATATGTCATATTATAATATTAATGATATAAGAAAGAAACTTTTAAAAAAATTATCTTCTTTAACTATATATGTTTGGCCTCTAGAAAACAATTATGATACCGAAGACCTGTGGGTCTATAGCACAGTGGTAGTGCTCCCAGGTTGCAATTACAAGGTCCAGAGTTCAATACTACAAAGGGCCATGTAAGAAAAATAACCAGGTTGCACAAGGATAGGACTTCTAGCCTCCCTGTTGATTGCTGGGCTGAAAAAAATCTACTGTAAGGATTGTATGAAGAAAGGCTCTGGTCTGGTTATACAAATTATGCTCGATCTAATTTCCTTGAACTGGATAAGAAACAAATCCTAGGATCTCGCTTTTAGGACTACGATAATTATTCGAATATATCACTAATCTCAAACTGTACCAGCAGACTCTAGGACTCCGCTTCTAGGATTGCAGCAATCGTCTGAACATTCCCTACCTCAAACTATACCAGCAAACTCTAAGACCTCACTTCTAGGACTGCGACAATCATCTGAACATTCTCTACTCCAAATTGTATCAGCAGAATCTGGAATCTGACCATCCTAACTTGGAATATTCCAATCCAGTACTTGCTTAAATGAAGGACCTGTCGAACAGGACTTGTCTGTGATGTCACAGATGATGACAAAGAAGATAGAAATCCCTTCTGAGATTCAAGTAAAAAGTATCAAGATATCTGGGTGGTTAAAATAACCCTTGAAAATTTGATACTAGTGTATAAGTTAGCATAATAGTATAGTTTCTTATTAACAGAATTAACTAACTATACCAATATTGCTGTTGATGACTATTATCAACTATCCGACCCTTAGTTAGGTATGCTCATCTATAGGAAGGTTTCAAGCAGGTCTGCCTAAAACAAGCCACGATAGGTTATTATTAATCTGCATATATATATATGAGATGATTGATATAATGCTTAAGTGAGCAACAAATAGGCAAACAGATCTAACTTCCATCTTTCATTAGATCTTCAAGCTTCTATTCTAGTTAGGCAAAGTTTTTGAAAAAATTTTGTTTATTCCAATTAGGTAAAGTTTTTCATAATATGGTGCTAACTCTAATAACATTAAGCAAATCTATATATTAACAAAAAAATAAGTTCTCAAACATTTTTCTTGAAGTCACTTTTAGGAATGGTTAAGTTTCTCAAATATTATAAAGCTTAGAGATATTTCAATTAAGCAAATCTTTTTTGAAAAAAAAAACTATAAAAACCTTTTAAAAGGCTTTGAATTATATTTTTTTTTTTTCATTTTTCTAGTGCTATACTTTAACAATTCATTATTTTTTAAGATAATCAATAGTAATAAACTATTGGCAATGATCCTGGTTATCTTAGAGACACTATATTAAGCTATTAAGAGAATATAATATTGTTCCTTAAATCTGACTTAGAGTAACCTAATTTAGACTTAATTTTGTTTAATCCAAACTAGCTTAATGGATTTTTTATATTTTTTAAGTAGTGTAGTTCTTCAACTAATAATATACAATAACAAGTTAGTCACTTTATAAAAGTTTATAAAATATTTTGATATCTTTTAATATCTCAATAAAGATATATCAAAGTGACATGATTGCAAGTAAAAAAAAAAAAAAATGAAATAAATAAAATTTTTTAAAAAATTATAAAAAGTAAAAATTCCAAAAGAATAAAAATAGTTAGTAAAGAAAAAAAACAAACTTTTTTATTGTAAAAAATTTTTATAAAAGATCTTTAGATACTTTATATCTATTTTTTTTTTTAAAAAAAGTTTTTTACTATTAATAATAAAGATGTTTTCTTGATTTTTTTTAATTATCAAAAGTTTTTGATTAAAGAGATTTGTAAATAAAAAGAAAAAGATAGAAATGACCCTTTAAAATATTCTTTAAGTTATTTGAAAGAAAGTATTAAAACTTTATTAATTAAAAAATCAAAAGATTTTTAAAACTTGTATATTAATAATCTATAAATAAATAATAATAAATTATTTTCAAAGTTGTACTTAAAGTTCAATAAGGTTAAAGTTGAAACATTCTTTTAAATTAATAATTCTTCAAGAGCTTCTATTGTTATTATTGTTACTACTTTAAAGTTTCTCGATTTTCTTTTGTTATATTATAATACTGCATAATCTAAAATATTGTATATACAGAATATATTAATAGTATTATTTTATTATAGATTTTTTATAATTGATTAATTAAAAAAAAAAAATTTTTTTTCAAACACTATTTACAAACGAAAAAATCCTGTCTATATGGCATGTTATTTTCAAGGAACGAATGAACATCGAAAAGTCCTTCGTTCCGCTCCAAAAAAAATGAGTCATCTATGAAGATAACGATATAACAAAAATCTTCGAGTAAAATAATCATATGACTATACGCTGACTCACATACTCATAAATACGGACAAGTTCGGACATTTAGCCATCAGTTGATTTTCTCACCTGACCCTTACTCCCTAATGAAATACGTGTAGCCAATTTTGGCCATCACAATTGTTTATAATTAACTTTTCAAGCAGGAAAACCATTATTAAATTTGCTTGAAATTTTTTTTTTTTCGAATTATAAATCCCTTCGCGATACATCATAGAGATTGGAGTATCTAAAAAAATTAATACATTAGACACGTCACTTACAATTCTGGCACATAAAACCTTTAATTTCATACGATGCAACACATTAAAACGAATACAGCATTAGTTGCTATAGCCAGACAAAATGCTCGCAGTTTACTTGGGGCAAAAAGTAATTCCGTTTTAGCACACCACGCTGCTCCTGGTGGGTTTTCCAACAGAGGAAGTAAGGGCGCAAATAGCGGAGCCAAAATTCATGGAACAAGGCTTGGATCACCTTTCAGTAGTGCTTCTGGAGTTACATTAATCGATAAGAATCATAGGAAGGCAGAATTCAACACAATAAATTCCTTTAGATCCTGCGGGGAATCATCTAATTCAAAATTTGTAAAAAACAGTGAGGTCAACAATAACAAATCAACTAGGCGTTATAGCACTTCAGCAGCCACGACTCCGACGTCGTTTCAACAAAATCCACCTGAAATATTTAACTCGCCAACCGTGACTGGAAACAGTGAAAGCTCATTTCGGGAGCGTGGTCCCCGGAATGAAGCATTAATCATCAGGGAGTATAATGATCAGCTAATTCGCCTGAAGAGAAAAGGACTGCCAAGGGAGGTGGAAAAATTTTTTGAAGAGATGAAAAACGATGGGGTACGACCAAATACCTTTACCTACAACTTGATTCTCGATACCCTTGCGACATTTCGAAATGAGACCAACAAATTGGATAGGATGATGCAATACTTTGACGAGATGATTAAGAATGACGTGCAACCAAATCTATCAACGTACAACATAGTTATCAGAGCCTTATGCAGGAGGGAATACGAGACACAGATAAAGATGTACCAGTTGAAGAAAAGGTTGAACATGGGAAATGAGCAACGAGATTCCCACACACAAAAATCCATCGATAACCTCAAGGAAGAGAAATGCATAGAAACAGCATACAGACTTTTCGTGCAAACAAAAGACAGGGAAGGATACTTCTATGAAAGTGATTTGTGTGACAACATGTTACGGTCACTTAGCCCGCACGGACGAATAGAAGAAGGTTTAACCATTTTTGAATACATGGAAAGTCGTAAGATAGTGACCGGCTATACATTTGGATATCTGATAGCATTATACAGTTATGCAGGGGATATGAATAGTGCGCTTGAATGCTTTGAAGAGTACAAGAGAGTTGAATCTGACTTGCCTCCGAAATACGAACCGATGGCCATTTATAATCAACTAATTTCAGCATACCTACGGTGCGGTCAAGTGCCAGAGGCAGTCGATGTGCTAGAAAATCTTGTTCCAATGTCAGGACTTAAGGCAGATGAATGGACTTATTTCTATCTCATTAGAGATTTATGTGATCATGGGAACATAGTGGAGGCACAACGTTGGTTTGACAAGATGAAAACTTCGGAAGATCTGCCAAAACCATTCCTCTTGATATACGACACGTTACTATTACATTATTCTGCGATCGGGGATTATCCCAATGCCACCAAAATTTATCAGGAAATGCAAGATTCAGACATTACTCCAAAATACACGGAGATGGCTTGTTATTTATCCTTGACCCTTAAACATGATCCCGATAGGTCATTAGACCTCTTGGATGACATGTTCAAGTCTAGTCAAGTAACGGATAATGGACTGACAAAGGAAATCATCAATCACTTTCTTGGCACAAAGAAACCAGCACAGGCTCTTACGGCCATCATCAAGATTATGGCACTTACAGAACGTCACATTAGCGGACCTTCAAACCGATCAAATACTCAACCTCCAAATCATGAGGACACCATGATTTCCCTGTTCAACAATCCGGAGGTTACTTTAAAGGAGGCGATCGATGCCAAGTTTGTGTTGTTCGATAATGGATATCGGCCAATGGGCGCCATAAGTAATTTGCTGTTTGAAAGATATGAAAGGCTCAAGCAAGAAGGTCTTCTTGCATCGCAATTGAAGGAACTTGAGAATCATCATATTTATTCGCTCTTTGACAATGTTGTTTCAATATGGTACGGTGATGATCCAAAGAACAAGGCCGCCTTCAAGGATCATACCTTCGGTATATTACAGGATTTACAGGACAATGGAGTCACATTACCCTATAAAGCCTTTATGAAAATCTATCATCATTTATTGGAAATTTCGGATAAAGAAGGGGCCGAAAAGTGGAAACAGATGTCTTCTAAATCTTTATCCAACACCAAAGAGCACGAAGAGCCAGCATCGGTCAATAATAATGATAATAGTAATATAGGTCGTCAACCTACCATCCAGGAGATCAATCGATCGTCGCAAATTGCTCAGATGTGTAAAACGCATACTATCGATTCGATCGCTTTGATGAAAGAGATTCGTCAAATGCTCGACGAAGGGTTGCTTCCTACACCCGAAGTTGTGAGCCAGGCAATTCGAAACCTGGGAAAGGGTAAAATGCTCAGCGAAGCAGAGGAATTATACAATCTCGCGCTTGATTTCTTCCAAAAATTAGATCAATCAGTTGGATTCCATGCTTTACAATGGGCACGTAATAGCATGTTAATCGCTTATGCCTGCAATTCCCGACTGGACGATGCGTATAGGCTATACGACGAACTATTTGAAAGTGGATCCAAACCGGATGCCAATGCTTACGCAGATCTATTGGTTGCCGAAGGGGATAGGGATCCAGACGAGGCAGCCACGGCTTTAAAGTTGTATGCCGAAATAAAACAGTATAACATAAAACCGACCTTATATTTCTACAATGTTTTAATAAGCAAACTTGGGAAAGCACGCAAGTATGACATGGTGTGGGAAGCTTTCAATGAGATGAAGGCACGCAAGATTCAACCAAACTCTATAACCTATGGAGCGTTGATCACCGCCTGCACTCGAGTGAAATCCGAAGAAAGAGCGCTTTTGGTGCTACAAGAGATGGAGAATTCAAAATTCTTTCAACCGCGCATTGGACCTTACAACACGATGATGCAATTTTACACGTGGGATTTACAAGAGAGGGATAAGGCTCTTAAATACTTTGATGAAATTCGGCGACATCAATTACAACCATCCGATCATACATACAAGTTACTTATTGACGCGTACGCTACTATCGAACCTTACGATATGCCATCAGCGCTTAATGTACTAGAACAGATTAAACAAGAAGGCAAAACACCGCAGCCAACGCATTATGCATCTATAATATATGCATACGGACATTGTCAGAATGATGTCGAGAGTGCCCTTCGAACGTTTAATGATATGCAAACAGTTCATGGCATTCATCCGGATCAAAATGCCTATCAAGCATTGTTTGATGCTTTAATTGCCAATGATCGTATCGCGGAAGCCGAAGAATACTACGATGTTATGATAACAGAGGATGTTGTAAAATCCACGGCGTACATTGAGAATCTATTCATTAGGGGTTATGGTCAATTGGGTCAATGGGAAAGAGCAGAAACTGTGTTTACCAATATGAAAGATCTCGATGACGACGGAAGCTATCGCGGAGTACCTAGAGAGCCTAGCACTTACGAAGAGATGGTTAAAGCATATGTAATTAACGGACAGATTGAAAAAGCCAAAGAAGTCGCGAGTATATTGGAAAAGAAGGATTTCCCGGAAATTGTTAAAAACAATATCGCGGACCTGCTACATTAATGGTCATCGGTTTCTAATATGTATGTGTAATTTATTTTATTTCTTATTTTATTATTGTTATTTTTTTTCCTATTTTTTTTTTTTTCTTTTTTTGAGAAAGTAATGAGACTTTCGAGGTGTATGTATGTATATACGCTAATTTTCCATAATTAATGAGGAGTCGAATTTTCATATTTAATCCTCGAAAAACATCGGAAAATATTTTATCATGTAATTAATTATTAAAAAAATCATATGCGCAAAGAATAAACAATGTTATTTAATTACACAATTACAATTAAAAACGAACATACAACGGTTCTGCTTGCTTGTCACCGTCAACTATCGTTTACTATGCGAAAAATAGAATTGTGTCGCAGATTGTAATTACGACCTTGTGACATTACTCAACCTTACTAATTGGGTAATTCTTTTTGAAGGCGACAAAAATGCTAGTAGAATTTTTTTGGGGTGAGGGGTTAAGGCCCGGGACTTTCG